GGGGTAGCCGCCGGGCAGGGCGGGGGGCCCCGCGCACTCCGATCCTGACGGGCCCCCCGGGTGGTCCTTGGCGGCGCAGCGGCTCGGGTAGAAAGCCGAGGCGGCGGCTGGGTCGCAACCGCCGCTCAAGGGCGCGTGGTGGCCGCTGCTGGAAGGCGTCTTGCAGCCGTCGGGTGGGTCCGGGGAGAGGCCGCCGCCGCCGCCGCCGCCGCCTCCCCCGCCGTCGCTGTCGGAGCTCTGCGTGCTGCTGTTGACCGAGAGGCCGCTGGGCGAGTGGAGGCCGCGAGCCTGGCCTTTCAGCAGTTTTTTCTCGTGCTTGCGCTTCTTCTTCTCCATCTTCTCCAGCTCCTTGCGCGCGATCTCCTCGGGATCCATGGGCTCCCCGCTGCAGGTGGTGGGGTGGGAGTTATGGGCCGGCCGGCCGGGGCCCTTTTTCGTGTTCTCTTTCTTGCGCCACTTGGCCCGGCGGTTTTGGAACCAGACCTGCACAGCGGAGGAGAAGGAGAAGCTGTTAACAGCCGGGCTCCCTCTCCCCCCACCCCAACCCACCTGGAGGCCGAGAGTGAGTAGAGGGGGGGGGGGAGAAACCCGGCTCGGGCCCTCCTCACGTGGGCCTCGGTGGTTATGGGGCTGCAGGAGAAGCACTAAAAAACGGGGAATTACTATTTGGTGTATGTGGCGGTCTGCGCGCCGCCTTTTGACTGATATTCGGGAGAAAGCAAGGGAAGGGGGTCTTGGAAGGGTTTTTTTTTAAGAGACGGGGGGCTTCTACTCCACAGGCCGGAAAGGCTGGCGGAAGGCTGTGGAGGGAAGGAGAGGAGTTGAAAAGTGTAGGGCGTTGGAAGCGCCCCCTCCAAGAGGAGAAAGTCTGGCGATCCGGATCAAAAGATCAGGGATTCTTTCCCCCCCACCGCTCCCCTGGCTCTTTCTTCCCCGTCCACGAGGATGGGGGGCAATTTTGGGGAACCGAGCTTCTGATTCTCCACGCATTACGCTTCCCCCCCCCCTTTCCCCACTGCTTTCCAGATAGCCGCATCTTTGGCCAGCTTCCTTTTCTTTGCATTCCCCAAAAGAAGGATTTGGGGCCTGCTGGGCGATCCTGTGCGTCCTCTATTTCTACAACGGCTGGGGGTGGGGAAGGGGGGATATCTTAGTTTTTTTAAAAACATAACGAAAGGTCGCTGCCACAAGCGGGAGAGAGAAGCAGAAATTGCGCGGAAGGAAAAAAAAATTGTGAACTTTATAGTAAGAGAAATCCGCACGCAACCCACCTTCTCTTTTGGGGCGCAAATAGCTGGGAGGAGGCGGGGGGGTTTCACCACAACGGCCCAAGATTTTGGGGACCCCCTAACAAATTTAGGAAGGCGTGGAAGAAAACCTAGGAGGAGAAGAGGTCCCCTCTGTAGGGGCGTATCTCGCTGGGGTTTCGCCAGGCGGTGGCGGGGATTCAGCCCACTCGGCGTTTTCTCCGCAGTTCCAAGGCCGCCGCCGCCGCCTCTTGGCTAGGATTTGTTGGGGGAGGGAGGGGGGGAATTGGGGAATGAAAAGCTCTGACCCCCGTCGGAGATCAAGACTTGACGCCCCCTCCCCGAAAAAAACAAAAACCGACGTCCTGGAGGAACTGGCCATATTTAGCAGTCTTCTTCCACTGTTTGAATTCAAATTTTAAACCTAATGAGATGGGGAAGAAAACGCGGAGGCGACACGATTTTTAGCCTCGGGGGCTGGGAGGGGGGGATAACCAGCTATCTCTGAGAGAGAGAAATTGGGAGGAGAGAGAGAAAAGGATCTCAGAAGAGCATCCATGATTTAACATTGGCTCTTCAACCCCCTAGTCTCCTCTGAAAAATCTCAGTGTTTTTATTTTTAATCACATATTATTTTTTTAAACTCGTAACAACGATAAGAACCACCCTTCTCCTCGGTCTGTCCGACGCTCGTTCCCATTGCAAACCTCAACGGAGGAAACTTAAAAAAAAATAAGCACGTTGGAGGGCCCCCCCCCCAAAAAAATTCTAAGAATCATTCAATTAAATAATAAGTTTTTGACGATTTAAACGCCGGGAGAATTATGACCGTTGCTGCCTTATTTATTTTAATTTTTTGTTTTGTTTTTAAGGAAAGGGGCGCGAGGGAAGGAGAGCGGGGGTCTCCCGGATAGCCAGTTTTATTTCAGATTCTGATTTTTAGCCGTCCCCAAGGTAAAATCGGCCGGGCTGAGAGCTGATTGCAATTCCTGGCGGTTGTTGTTTTAAATAACTGCCTGAGTGTTAGCTTCCCCCAGCCCTTGTCAGGCAGAATTACTAATTATCGTATTAGAGGGGAAATCAAGGATCTTGACTTCAGTCAAAACCCTCGAACAGATTGGATAAAAGGATTTGGAAACAGAAGGGGTCAAAAGGAGGGAAGGAGGGAGGGAGTCAGGGCAGAAGTATTTCCTAAATACCCTTTTTAGAGAAGGCCAGCTTGAATTAATTCGGAAACCTTACTAGTGGGAAACGGCAGAGCATTGGGGAAAGATTTTCGCTTCCTTTTCGCATTTGATTTGATGCCCCTTCCTACGCGAGACGCCCTTCAGGGCGATGTCGCCTCGATAAGAGGTATCTTTCTGATTGTGGGTTTGGTATTTCATTCAGGGCCCTTTGGTTCTTGGCTTTAGGGGTGGGGGGGAGATCCTGGAGGGGCTTTGCCAAATTGAGAGAGCCCACCCCTCCCTCCGCCAGCCTTCCGAATTCAAACCTTGGGTTCTTGAACCCAATTAATTGGCCCCTTTGAAGCTCGAGTGGGATGGAGTATTAAAAGCAGCGCAGAGGCGGCGACGCGTTTGCGGGTGGGTGGGTG